AATCCTCGTGTATACCCCTCAAATCTTTCTTCGTAGAATCCCCGAGATGCCCTAGACTCCCCTTTAACCCTTAACCCTAGGCCCTACACCCTAAGCCCTAAATCCTGCGTATAGTGCATTCGGGTGTGCCAGCATTCCTAAACAGTGCAGTATCATGTATAATTGTATGCAGATATGTATCTAATACGTTTGGAGGAACTGATTATCATGTGCGTGTTTTCTGGTAAGTTGGACGGATGGGGGTCTAGTAAACATACTCTATTGGGGACCCCAAACAGGGCCCCCCAAGAATAGAGCAGGAATAGGGATGTATTTAATAGGCTCCTAATCTTCCTATTACACTCCTACTATATTCTTTGAGTTTTCACCTACGTGTTCTTTTCTCTTTATCTTCCTATTATATTCCTAGAATATTCTTTGGGTTCCCTGTTGGGGGTCCCCTGTTAGAGTCCTTTTATTTACGGCTTGGGCCTGCATGTTTCCCGGTATACACCCCGCAAAGGCCTATGGTGCAAGGAACGGAACCTCTAATTACTGGAAAATCCGATTTGGGGATTAGGGTTTAGGGTTACTGGAAAATCCCATTCGAGGATTAGGCTTTAGGGTTAGGGGTTACTGGAAAATTTCATTTGGGGAAGAGTCTAAAGAAATTCCAGGTGGGTAGCTTCCACCAAAGAAGCTTTACATACGCCTTCTTATCTACCTCATACACAGCCCCTCATATCCTGCGCCTCCATCCCTGAATTTTACAGGCCTTATGTAAGGGCAACACTTGGGACCTCCCCAGGTGACAATGTCTAGGAGTGGTATGAGAAAGCGGGGAGGGGTCCTGCAAACTACCCACCTCTGGGTTTTGGATTTAGGGTTTTAGGTTTCGCTGAAGTGGAAGTAAATGAGGACAAGCAGATACAGTTTTTCAGGGCCCCAAGTTAAAGCTCCGGCGTATGAGTCTCTTATAACTGCGGTCCTAGATGACACGCTCGTGTTGTAATATGCCTGCCAAGATACCTCAAACCCTAAACCCTAAGCCTGTAAGCCCTTAACCCCAAACTCCTGGAACCTAACAGCCCAGGTTCCTAAACCACCAGCTCTGTAGAATCCCATACCCCCGCATCCAAAACATAGACATAGATGCCCCAGAAAAGCATGACGAGCTATATAGGAACCATATAGGTGGTTGTCAAAATTTCTGGTCCCTTTTTGGGTTCCCTAAATATTAGGTGCCGTATTATAATAGGGATCCACAAAGGTAATTCTGACAACCACCCATATAGGGTTTCATATGCCTTGGTATGAGGATCTACTGTTCGGCTGCCAAGGCAGTCTTTAGAAAACCAGCAAGCAGTGAGGATTATTTAGGCCACAAGTATAAGTATAAGGCGTATGTATGGGATACTAGGAGTTTAGACTATAAGTCATGTAGGCTATGAAGCCTAAAAACTGAATCCTAAACCCTCAGTCCTAAACCCTAAACCCTGCATATCCCTGAATCCTAGACCTGCAGTCCTAAACCCTAACCTAACTCAGGAGACCCTAGACCCTAATTCCTAAACCCTAAACTTAGGAAACCCCACTCCCTAAACCCAACACCCGTGACCTAACCCCTAAACTCAGGAGGCTTCAAAAAGATCGTGGAGCACGCCAAAAAGGCCGCCCAGGCCGCCGCGAAAAAAGCAGGCAGGGTTTCGGGTTTGACTCTTATAGCTGAGGGTTTAGGTTTTTGAGGTTTAGGGTTCAGGGTTTTGGGGTTAAGGGTTTAGAGTTTTAGGGGTTCAGGGTCTAGGGTTTAGGGATTTGTTGAGTCTTATGGGTTGCTGTTGAGGGACATCGTTTAAGTTTTATAATAAGGGTATATCGGGGCAGCGTGAGCAGGATCTATGCATGCAGCACTGGCAACAGTCGCGAGGGTCACACCACCCCTATGCGAAATTTGGGCCTGTGTCGGCGTGAACACACATAGAGATTTGCATATCTGGGGGGAACCCTGCCACACGGCGTCCCGGCACTGTCAAATGCTCTTAGGTTTCACGGTGTAGGGTCGAGGGTTGAGCTTGCTGAGTGCTGGCGGGGGCTTTGGAAGGAGAAAAACTGTAACAACAGTGACAATAGCAAATAGTAATTACAGTGATAACAGAAATAATAGTAATAATAGTGATAACAGTCATAATAGTAATAATGGTGATAACAGCAATAATAGTAATAATTGGAATAGTAGTAATACTAGTAATAATTTCACGCCCACTGCAACCCTCGGAGCCCTACCTGGAGATCCAGTTGACCCTAATTCTATGGGTTTCCCTACTGCCCCCCTCTATACTACCCTCCTTAATTATGATTATTTAGGGGATACTTAGGCTTAATTAACTTGAATTAAGGGGATGCCTAGGGGAGGTAGTATACAGGGGGGTAGTAGGGACACCAAGGTAATCGTATGTTAGTCTCATCATTCTGGGGACTTCCTTCAACTCTGTTACCATGAGCATCGTCAACTATGATCCCCGAGCAACACTTAAGATGGAAGCCCCGCTGAAGCAACATAATTCTCGCTTTCTGTTATGTATCATCCAAAGTCAGAAGCCGTTGAAACTTCAAGTTTTACCAGGGGCCCTAGGGAATGTTGAGCTAACGTGGATGCATTTTTGCAACTAAAGCTTGAACCCTTCTGCACACCCCGAAGATCCTGAACCCAACCCCTGTGGGTCTAGCATTTAGGCCCCCCCACAACCCTTAACTACCCCGAAACCTCTAAACCAAATCCGGGTCAACCCTGTTCAATTTAAAGAGAGCACTGACGACCCGAAATAACTCCTATATGAGCTAGTCTAAACTCCTTCAAGGGGGGTTATATAGGGAATTAAGTAGGGGACTACTATAAAGGTTATTAAGGGGGATACTAGGAGTTTAGACTATAACCCCTATAATCCCCTACATAAAGCAGTGTCCATTTCATTTTCCATTTTCTTTTCCATTTGATTCTCCATTATTAAGGGGGATACTAGGAGTTTAGACAGTGGCTTATAGAACCCCTAGAAAACCCTTTGAAAGGGTACCCCTAAACCCTAAACCCTAAACCCCCTACCTGTGTTCAGCCTACAGCCCCTCCGCCTCCTTCGGCACCAAAGATCTTAGCTTGGAGATTCCCGGCATTTCATGCCGAATCTCCCTGCTCCTGAGCTGTGAACCAGAGTTGAATGAGGATATTGGGTTTAGGGGCTTAGGGGTCAGGGTTTGGGAGTTTAGGGGTTTAGGGGCTTAGGGGCTTCGGGGTTTAGGGTTTCTGGGGTTTAGGGCTTGAAGTTGGTGGTGCTTGGGGCTTAGGACTTGTTAGTGTAAGCAAGGTTCCCTTGCTTCCAAGTTCTTACTCTAGGGTTTAGGGTTCAGGGTGAAGGAAGCATCTACAAGTTCAGTGTTCAGACTTTGAGGTTTCGGGTTTATGGGTGTTTGTTACTTCTCTTGCCCTAAGCCCTAAACCCTAAACCCTAAAAAGCCGTGCTTTCTGTAGTCCTAAACCCTAAACCCTAGGGCCCCTAAACCCTAAACCCTAAACCGATTGCGTGTTCAGCGTCTCCATCATGGAGGCTTTTTCTGCGAGGTTGGCCGGCACTGGGCAGACTGTGCTCAACAAAGGGTTTAGGGCTTAGGGTTTAGGGTTAAGGGTATAGGGTTCAGGGCTTAGGGTTGAGGGTATAGTAGATTAGATTTTAGGGCTCTTGGGGTTTAGGGATTAGGGTTTAGGGTTTTGGGGTTTAGGCTTAGGGGTGAGGGTTTTCGGTCTAGAAGCCTGGGTTCGGAGTTCGGAGGTTAGTGGCCAGGATATCTGCAACATCTGTGGACACCTAGGCGTTTAGTGTTTCGGGGCCCTAGGGTTTAGGGTTTAGGGTTTCCAAAGGTTCCTTGATCAGAACTTCACATTGGGTTCAAGCAGCGCGGGCTCTACTTTAACGCTGCAGGCTCACTTAAATAGAATTGATCTTTTGGGGTAGCGTATGTCGGTTTCCGTGACCTAGTGCCTCCCTTTTTTGGGAGTCCCTCTAGTTGGGATCATAATATAACGGGGTCTATATCTAAGGCGCACCATTTCTGGAAATCACCAAGTGAAGGAATGAGGGTGTCTGCGTGACCCCCTTTTTGGGCTTGCGATTCACTCGCGGACTTGATGCAGCCAGGTGTTCCGCAACATTGCATCTTGTGCCTAAGGAGTCCGGACTAAGCTTTCTGGTAGTTAGAAGGGAATTGAGGAATGGACGCCTACAGTATCACATTCGCTCTAGAATCCTTCAAAAAAATTCGCATACTCCTTTGCTTCATTCCCCACTGACCACCCTAAACCTGTAGTAGTTGTCTTTTTCTTTCCATTCCTGTTACTGAGGGTGGGGCAGAAGACCGCCAGTTTTGGTATTCCTGCTACGAAGCTTACGCTCCCCCTGCCCGGTCCATTGAAGAAGATTGCCGGTGCCTCCACCGATGTCGTCATGGGCGCAATCCATTTCTTCCACGAAATCGTGAAGTGCGAAAAGTCCAACGCAGACGCTGGGTTCAAGTGAGGCAACTTAAACTACGGTAAGTTACTACAATAAGGAAACTCTTTTATGCACCGTATACCCATACAAAAGGTAACTTGATTTCAGTCAGGACAACATGGTCAAGTGCATCGGCGACAAAATCCGGAAGCTCCAGCCTCCCCTGAACTTCCTGCCAAAGCCATTGCGCGAACTGAAGGATGGCCTCCACAAGAACCTGCAGCACGTTGCGAAGCTGGGTTGCTGCTAAGGAACTTAAATGAAGCCATATTTCCCTTGCATGACGGAGAATCAAATGGAAAAGAAAATGGAAAATGAAATGGAAACTGGGGTAGTATGGGGATTTAAGGAACTTGAATTAAGGTACAGTTTTATGGGCATATACCAGCGTTTCCTCAATATAGTAACTTATGTTAAGTTCCTTCACAGCAACCCAGGAAAGGGGACATCCAGAAGATCTTGCCCACACGGGTTCGTCAGGTTGCAAGTGGCGACATCATGAAAATTGTTCCCAAGGAGTTGCAGCAGGTTGTCAATGGCGATATCAAAAAGCTTCTGCCCAGCCAGTTGCAGCAGGTTGTGGACGGTGACATTAAGGAGCTCTTGCCCAAGCAGCTGCAGCAGGTTGCTAGCGGCGACATCATGAACCTTGTGCCCAAGGAGCTGCAACAAGTTGTCAGCGGCGATATTAATAAGCTTCTGCCCAGCCAATTGCAGCATGTGGCCAGTGGCAATGTCAACAAGATCTTGCCCAAGGAGTTGCAGCAGGTCGTCAAGGGGGACATCATAGGTCTTCTGGATGTGAACAACCCGGTTCCCTGGCAGCGTTGAGTACGAGTTGAGAATCTGTTTGGGTACCTGAGGCCAATATAAACAAACACACATGTATGTTGAAAATAGCCTTTGTGAATGTGCCGGATAGTCGTAACAACCAACATGACTCTGAGTACCTGCCTCGTACCTTGGGAATTACGGTGCTACAGCATGTTCAGGTCATGCAGAGTATCGACCCTAGCCTCAACCCTACAGTAGGTTTCCTTAAGGGGATCCATTGTGAATACTACCTCAACAATATCCCTCTAATCCCTGACATATCCCTATAGCCCTATGTATGCCCCAGAACCCGCTTTACATATATCCCACTAGGTCCTAAAGCCTCAATCCTTAAACCGCCCATAAATCTTAAAACCCCAAAACCACACTTCGAGCCAAGCGGGAGGGAGAAAAAACACAATTAAAACTCAATCCAACACCCTAAACCCTAAACCCTAAACCCCCAGGTTAGGAGGGTGGCCGATGGAAAGCTCACGGGACTCCTCCCCGGGCCTCTGCAGCTTCTTGGCCGCTGGGGCCTTGTTGGTTTAGCGTTTAGGTTTTTAGGTTTTTAGGGTTCAGGGCTTAAGGTTTAGGGTTTAGAGGTCTTTTTAGGGACTAGGTTTTTAGGGTTCAGGGCTTAAGGTTTAGGGTTTAGAGGTCTTTTTAGGCACTACGTTTCCTTTCTCTTAGAAGCATGATCCTGAGGAACTCTGAAAAAACGTGACATTGTTGTTCCAGGTCGAGGGCGCGTATATAGTATTCGGGAGGAAAAGTTTCGGTATGTGCTCCTGTTTGAAGGGTCAAGGGCCATAGTCAACACTCATGACTGGGCTTACAACCCTACTTTATAAGGTTGCCCCATGACATGTAGGGTTATAGGCCCAGTTCTAAGTGGCTAATAAGTCCATGGCTTATGAACCTTAGTACAGATTCACCCGTTGCAGTTCAGGCAGTCTCCCATGGGTCTGCTGTGCCAGTCCTTTTGAGGTATCAGATCTTGTGGGAGCATTATTATGGAGGCCACCCGGCTTATAACTAGTTACCTGTAACTGGTTGCATCCTCACCGCCAATTACCCGATTCAAGTTGCTCACTCATGCTTTTACACGGTAGTTGCCCTAACTAGTGCGAGCCCAAGATAGACACCAAAGTCCGTATTCTACGGACACCCAACAGGCACCCCTAATTATGGGAAACGCTTGCATAGGCCCCTCTACTACCTACAGCCACATAGCCAGACCCCTGGACTTGGCGGATCTAAAAAAGTGGAACCTCTTGAGGGTTTCTAGAACCTAACCACTAGTAGTATCGGGTACCACATTGCGGGTTCTACTTTCTAGATCCCCCCAGGAGGTTGGGTATAAGGCTCAAGGACCACATGAGGCCTGATTAATTGATATTCTGGGCTTGCTCGGGAATCATCTGGGGTAGGATTACAACTCCTCTCGGAACCCCTCAAAATGGTACCCCTAATGTAGGAAAACCCCCAATCCCTAAGCCCTAAAACAGCAACCCAGACAAAGGAGGTGGCAATGCTAACTCCGTGGAGACTTTGCTTACCATGGGAAATGAGCTCATGAAGTGCTCCAAGCGGACTTCACAAAATGCTTTGATGCTTGGATCCCATAGAGTTTAGGTGTGCAAAAAAAGGGGTTTAGAGGTTTAGGCTTTTCAGCTTACAGGTTTAGAGGTTTAGGCTTTAGAGCTTAGCTTTCATGTGAAACTCCTGTGAAGTTTCTGCTAGCTAACAGTTGCCACTGTAGAACCCTTGATAGTGCCGCTACATTCCCTTTGGAGTTTCCGTGCATCCGTCTAGGGTCCCAATGGCCCTTTGTTGAGAAATCCGCACATGCAGAGCACGGTAAACCATACACCCTGGGGTGAACAAGTTTGCACCTGGCTTTGTTATCCATCTTCCTGTGGGCTTCGTATGGTTTAGGGCTCTGGAACGTGTCATGTTAGCTTTGTACTTCTATGTCATGCAGATTGGTGGTCTCTTCGGACGAGATTTCTGCTTATGGGGCGATATGTTCAAAACCTTTGAATGGTATAGCGGGGCTTTCTTGAGTCATCCAGGCGGGAAGGGATGCAGGGACCACCAGCCAGATTGATTTATGAAACGAAAGCCCCGAAGGATATAATCATCATATACTCCATCTACTGCGCAAGGCCCAAATGACGATGAATACTAGGGGAACCCCGACGCATGTCACTATCGAAGACTGGACCTGTAGTGTTAGGCTTCGTGCTTAGGGCTTGGAAAGAATAAAGGGACTCTACCGGGAACCCCAAACCGGGAACCCAAGAATATAGTAGGTATAGAATCGGAATATGCTTACCAGGGTCCTTATATTCCATTATATTCCTGCTATATTCTTAGGGTTCCCTATTTGGGGTTCCCAGTAGAGTCCCTCTGAAGAACAACTGAAATTCTTGGGAGCCCAGCTGCTCAACGTATCTGCTGTTGGGCTTTAGGTTTTCAAATTTAGGGTTACAGGATCCCAAGAAGTGTAAGGCAACTCTTTGACAACTTAAGTGTGCTACCCCAGCTAGTAGGGCAAGTAGCAAGGCTTCAAGCTTGTACAGTTTGATGTCAGGGTTTTGTCTCGTGCTGAGGCGACTGCCGTTGATGGGGGGATGTAACCTACCTCAGGTAGACAGAATACGGACATTCCACAAAACCATAGCTATCTACTTGAGGGTGACGATCGTTACATGGGGTCATGCAGGCATGCGCCTATCCATCCTGGGACTGTAAACGTGCATCCGTTATAGGTCCAGGGTAGCGCATCCCTAGACTCTAAACCCGAAACAGGCTCCTCCTGGCTGCTGTGACCAGGGTTTAGGATTTAGGGTCCCCAAGATAAGGGGTACCTTGAGGGTCCCCATAGTAAAGGGTTATAGTATTTTGGGGTATATATTGGGGTCCCAGCATTTTAGGGTTTGGTTGCAAGAGTTTAAGGGCTTGCTTCTTGCAATAAGCATAGTTCCAGGTGTTTAGGTGCCAGACGGGCACCCTCACGTACGGGTTATATCACCACCCTCACTCTTCTCCTCACTGGACAATTTCGGGTCACCTGTGTCTGCCCTGCCACTTCTCTTCCCAAGGTTCTATGAGAGCTATCTCCTTCAAGGGTGCTGAGAACTGTCCACCGCTTATAGTGGTAATAAGTATACATACAAAGGCCTCCTGACCCTGCTAGCAAGGTTTTGGTTCAAGGTTAGGATCAGCTTTCGCCCCCCCAACACTAGACTCTAAGCCCCAAACACCCCCAGCTTTTTCAACTTTAAATCCTAACTTCTAAGCCTTTCAAACCCCATAGACCAAAACCCCTATCCCCATATATCCCCTATATAACCCTATGTATTCTCTAAATTCTAAGCCTTGCCGTTCTAAAGCTGCGAACACGGTCAAGGATCCAATGCCTCGGCTACAAGATCGTGGGCAGCATCCCACCACTGAATTTCTTGAAGCTTGGTTAGGGTTTAGGGGTCCAGGAATTAGGGTTTTAAGGGTTAGGGTTCAGGGTTTAGGGTCCGGCTTTAGGGTCTAGGGGATTTTGGTTTAGAGTTTGGGGTCCACTGAATTTCTTGAAGCTTGGTTAGGGTTTACCTGAACTGTAGTCTAAACTCCTTAAAGGGGGTTACATCGGGGACTACTACAGGGATTTTTTAAGGGGGATACTAGGAGTTTAGACTATGGTTTACCCGAACCCAAAAGTATCTAGAATGATGGCCTTGTTTGCTGTGTTTAGGGGTTTTGGGCTGTCATTTTACTTTGGAGGTTTAGGGGTCCAGGAATCAGGGTTTCCGGGTTAGGGTTCAGGGTTTAGGCCGGCTCTAGGGTCTGGGGGTTTTTGGTTTAGAGTTTGGGGTTTACGGTTTGGGTTCCGGAGTTTGGGTTTTAGAGTTCAGGAGTACGGCACAGGTTCCCAAATAATGTAGTAGTTTCTGTATTCTTTACCTTAGACCATCGGATCCCTAAACCATAGGATCCCCAAACACTTAACCCCTCCTTGGGACTTAGCTGGGACCTTAGACCCTTAACCCTTTTGGGATTCCCTTATATTCCTATTATAGGCAATTAAGGGTTGACCCGTAGTAGGGGTCCTAAGTGCCACCTAAACCCCTGTACAATCCCTATATATGCCTATATTATAGTAGCTTCCATTTTCTTTTCCATTATCCCAATATATCCCCTAGATATCCCCTAAATCCCCTTAGCCACGTAGAGCAAAAAAGCCTAAAGCGGCCTTGGGCTCCTTGAAGCCGATCCTCCTTCAGCGGAAGGACTCAACGGATGGAAAGCATCATGCATGCCTGTGAGTCGCTTCCCCTAAGGGTCCAAGTACTTAATAATCATATACTTACCCAAAACCTACACTATAAGTACTATTACCAAAATCCCAAGTACCTAATTATTGGGTACTTGGACCCTCTGGGTTCATTCTTAGAGTCTGAACCCGAAACCCTACGTTTACGGCTTGGGGTTCAGGGTGTGGGGTCTGTTTAAAGACCCTGCGTTGGATGGAGGAATCTTGCACACGGAAGGCCGCCATAGTACTGTATTTTTTGTCAGAGTAGAGGCTAATATATGAGGGAGTGCAAGTTTTCCTTCCGTGGGCAGCAGGTGGCGCAAGATTTCCGAACGGATACTGAAGTCCTACCACTATAAAGACCCCATAAGAGTCATACGATTTTCATGTGGTTCCTGTAATGGTCGTTTTTTTGTTGCAAAAGCGGTCTTATGAACGAAACTATACCATTATGCCACAAGATATCGCCACACTTTATTCTTTGTCTGAGCCCATACCTTGCAATCACTGCAAGCGCCTCTATTTTTAGACCCGGCTGTCGATTTGATTTTGGATTTTCCCGGTCACTTGATTCCCCATCTCTCCATTAGCTGTGCTATTCTGCCCAAAACCCTAAGTGCTGGATCCTACCTCCTAAGCCCTTTCAGGAATCGCTTGGGCGAGATCTTCGCAGAATTCATCGAGTCCTTTGCGAAGGTGGCTTCAGCTGTGGCAGCGCAGGCAATGAAGGCCAGGCACGACAAGACACCTATGTTTCGGGTCTAGGGTTTTAGAGTTTAGGATTTAGGGTTTAAAGTTGAGGGGTTCAGAGTTTAGGGTGTTTAGGGTGTTGAGGGTCTGTGGTGATGCTTAAGCAAAATTATGACGACCTCTGGACCTCACCCCCATGGTGGTTGATAGGAAATGGTGCCAAAATAGCTTTCTTGCAGGTGCAGGTTTTGGAGTAATTTTGAACTACTCCATTCTCTCGACTAGTAAAACGCTAGTGTTAAACAAAAGAGGCCAAATCAGGGTCCAAGAGCAGTGTAAAGGCAGAGGCAGCTTTGGGCCAACAACCTCTAGATTTTAAGCAACAAGCCGCTGCAGAATTATGGCAAGTTATTGAATGACCCTGGTGCTAGCCTGCTCTTAAGATCAGAAAGTCATGAAGTCAGATTTGGAACCTTCACTTGCTTAGCAAGGCTGCGTTTAAGATTAGAATAAGAGAGCTGATCCTGAGACCGGATTTGCTTGTAAAGTTTCGGCAGGAACTAAAGGATGAAACGCTGCTTCCTGAGCTACCCCTTGCGGACCTTTTGCGTGAGAGGATTTTTCTTTACGCGAATGGAACACCCCAGAAACAGCAGCAAGTGTTTTCAGGTCATTCGTTTCGGAGCCTTCTATACTTGAAGCCAAGTTACAAGCAATTTGACATTGATTAAAAAGGTCCAGATAGCATCAACTTAACTTCAAGTTAAAACTAACTGAAAACCAGTTAACAGTTAATGCCGCAAATGAAACACGGTTACAATATGATTAACGTCGATTCATTGTCCCTGCTCTTGCTCTTGTTGCCTACTCTAAACCCTAAACCCTAGTCTGCTCGCGACACCTGCTTCTTTTTCCTCATCCTCTAAGTCAAACTCTTGCTCTTACCTCTTGCTCTAGCTGTTCCTACTTTTGCTCTGATGTACTACTTGTACTGCTGTATTTTGCGTGAGTTTCTTTTCCTTTTCAGATCTCGGATCTCTAGATTCATGTGGCTTAGGAACCCCCCCTTGTTGATCAAGAGCGCAGATTAGCCAGCCGTGTTTAGGGTTTAGGAAGTAGGGTTTAAGGACTAGGGTTTAGGGTTGTAGATGGGTTTCCCATTTCCGAAGGGCGGGAAGTCGCTGCTCCAGACAGCTGCGACAAGCGAGTTCCCTTCGGCCGATGCTCCACCCACAGTCCACCACAGAGGCTGAGTCAAGTCTGAGGTTTGGGTATTAGGGTTTAGGGCTTAGGGTTTAGGGTCTAAGGTTAAAAGTATGGGCGCCTAAAAAGGGCCCTTAGCCCTCTTAGTGGGATTCTAGGGACCCTTGAGGGAACATATACGGTATATTATATAGCAGGTATATAGGGTTTCCAGGCTAAGGTCTCAGACTAGTGGCTCTTTGCTTTAACTATAGATTAAGGGTGTCTTTTCAGGGGTAGCTAGAAGTAGGTTATGCAGGTATTCAAAACTAGTCGAGACATGTCGAATGCAGTTAGGCGACTTAACCACAGCTCGAACTACCCATGAAGCTCCAAGGTTTTAGCTTTGAGTGGCTCATGTCT